CTTGGAAGAAAGGCATGGTGATTTAGTTCTGAAAAAAAGAAAAATCAGCCATTGAAAACCCTATGGAGCACAGTGCTACTCTGACATACATGGTGTCTCCATGAGTCAGAATCGATCAGAGGCAACTGGTCTGGTTTCCCACCCCTCACCTGACAGGCAGAGATCTGGGCTTATTCCCTAGATGCTTCCCTTTTTCCTTACTGGTCTTACCTCTTAAGACTGAGATTTCCCTTTCCTTCCAGACTTCCCTTCCCTGGGGTCTTAGAGCTGTGGTTCAATTCCCCCATCCCAGCTGCCCCTCAGAGCCTGGCACTGGGGCCCCAGGTAATATTCTTGGGCTGGTAGGCTGGACTGTCAGAGGGTGTGACTGCAAGATCACCATGTCCAGGGTGGAAGAGTTGGTGAGGCTCTTCAGCCTCTGGGAACCTAGGGCCTGAGGGAGAAAAGGGCCAGAGTTAGGGCCAGAGAAGATAAAGAGCCACAAGAGCAGAGAAGAGGGCTTGTTCATTCATCTTGCCATCCTAGCTTCCGGTTTTCATACCCCTCACGGCTCAACCAAGTAGATTTGTCAAGGCTTGCTTACTTCCACACTGATGCTGCCTCCCAGGCAGCCCGACTTCTCTCCTCTTGTTAGATTAGTCCTCAGAGAGAAGGTAGGTTGGGTCGGGAAGAAAAATGTCTTAGCAAGAAATATCAAGAAAGCTTAAGGAAACAGAGAAAGGAAGCTGGGAGACTGAAAGAGGCAAAAAAGAGAGGGAACAGGAGGAGAAGAGGCAGACTGGGAAGGAGGAAAGGAGAGGAGGAAGGAAACAGTTTTATGGAGTGCACCGTATAAACACGCCTACTTTACCTCACAACAGCTCTGGGAGAACAGCTTTCTTATGTCCATTTTGCAGGTTCAAAGACCGAGCGTTATGAAGGGCAAGCGACTCGCTAAAGTAATATGAGATAGAAAGTCATCGAGATGGATTTTAATTCTGTTATCCTAAAAGTGGCCTCAGTATAGTCTCCTGCCTCCAAAGAGGAAGAGAAAACAGAGTCTGAGAACAAGGAAGGCAAGTAGAACAGAGTGGAGAAGGTAGAATAGAAGGAAAAGAGAGGCAGACATTCCTCACAAGAGTTGAGGTCTGGGGTTGGACTCATTGAGGAACATTGAGTCCTTTTCTCCTGGGCCCATCTTGTCCCTGAGTCCTGATAACTGGAGAGCGCTCACTACCCAAAGGAGCTAGAGGATCCACCAGTGGAAAAACTCCTGTTTCTTGTGAACTCTGAGATGGGAGATGGGGGAAGGGGGGCTCAACTGGGCAGGGCTCTGGGCAAGGAGGTGAGCCGCCAGGAATCTGCCCCACACTGCTCTACTGGCTTTGACTGCTTCTGTCTCTTCCCCAACTGCCTTGGCCCCTTCCTTTTCCCTTTTCCACTCTCCTGCAATTCCTTTGCCTTTCAATCTACCTTGTATTTTTAATCTTTCTCTTTCCATTGGTTTTGCCCCCCAGAAAACCCCTACACCCCTGTCTCCCCACCTTAAACATGGCTTCACTTTAAAGTCTCATTATCCATTTGCACTTATCTTCTTTCTTTTATTGCTGAAGTCTTGAAGCAGTTTCATCCTAATGTTCGTGTAGATACTTTGACAAAGTTCAGAGGGCAGCGTTCAAGATAATAACTACATCTAATAAGCACCCTCATTATGTTCACTCTGCCCCAACATCCCATCTAGGCTGGTTCTGAGGGTGACAGAGCTTACATGCCCCGCTTATTGATGGTTATGTAACTAATTGGTGGAACAAGCAGAGGTCTAAGACCAGGGCTGTTTGACTTCAAGGAATGAGTCAACCACCACATCCTGCTGTGCCTTGAGTAGCTCAGTGGGCTGTTCTGTGGAGGCTTTTTGGTGAGTTAACCGTAATCAGTATGGGTCTTTTGTCCTGTAGAGCTTGGACTGTAATTCAATAGCAGATTAAAAGCAGATCTAACTTTCCGGAGCAGACTAATATTAGTTCAGAAGACTGATGATGTAAGATAAGAATGGCAATTTATTCATTTAAAATGTGCAGTTTAAGTATCAGGAGGACCAGAATGTTCACTTCAGCACGACTAGTGCATTGTTTCCCTGTAGGCAGGCTTCTGTGGGAAAGTGAATTATCGGCAGGTTGCTTGGCGAGTGGGAATTGGAGCAGGGGGAATTAGCTATAATAACTTAATTGTTGAGTGACCTCAGATCATTAAAGGGAATCTCCATTTTAATCCTTTGTTGAAAGCATGGTGCCAGCTGCACTCAGGTGTTCTCATTTTCACCCTAAGGAGAGACCTCCGTGTAAAATCATAATATGGCCAGGACTCCCTCATCCCCACACAGTTGCTCAAGTAGCATTTCCAACTTGGATGTCTTGTTATCACTTCAATCCCAAGGTGTGTGGAACCAAACTCCTTATTTTCCCTTACAAACTGGCACCTTCTTTTGACTAGGCCATTTCTTTCATAGAAGAATTATTTTCTGTGAGTAAGATTGAAAACTTAAACTTGAGATGTAAAGAAAATGAATTCTTCATGGAAGTATAACCTTCAATATTTTTTTAAAAAATTACTAACTGCATTTTAAAAGAAACTAATATATGTAGGGTCCTTGGCTATTATTTGTTACCTCTCTCTCTCTTCCTATTTTTCCTATACCTCTCTTTCTTATAAAAACCCACTAGAACTCTCACACAAGGAAACCACCATTTTAATCCCTTGCATAAGATGAAGCTAAGGGTAAGATAAAACCTATTCAGAAGGTTTCCTTTTTACCATTTCTCCTGCTTTGGAGTGATTTAAGAAAAGGGGGAATGTATTCATGCAAATATTGTTTGCTTTAGCACTTATAAACGGTTGAATTTCAAAATTCTGTATTTCGACTCCTAGAGTTAGATTTCACTTCAGCAAACCCTTTTCTCGTATCTGATTTTGTTTATTCTATTTCCTTAGACCTTCACTGATCCAAAAGTTCAACAAAGGATGACTTTTTCTTTATTCTGACACACTTTAGAAGTGAAGTGAGTGTCAGCTGGGATATTTTGGTGAGTTAATAAATGTACAAAAATAAAAGAACTAAATTTTACTTACTCAAAGTTAAACTATAATCTGCTACATACCCTCCACAAAATATTCCTGGATTGTCATTACTACAAAGAAATGGACTTGAAATGCCAATTGTTAATTTTTGGCTGTAATTTTATGTCTTAGAGAGTAAAAATATTTGGATTCATTTTGAAGTAGAGAATATTTTATACAAAAGCAAAAATAACTAAAATTAAATAATGGATTTATTTAATATCTTCAAATTAGAATATTTCAAAAACACTTCAGAAAGTGGTATTAGGGGAATTGAAAGTAATGGAATATCTTTATGATTTAAAAATAATTTTAGGAAGGATGTGGTATTGCTTTTGTTGGGTTGTCTAGGAGCTTTAAAAGTGAGAAGTGCTTTCAGAAAGAGCTAGAATGAGAGAGGGCAGAGGTTACATGGATAGTTTGTCTTTAGTTACCTTTATATTACACGAATATATTTAGGTTCATCTTTGTACTTGTTATCTGTTAATACCAATTTTTCAAACAAAATCTAGTAAACTAATAAGAAGGAAGGTAAGTTTGCCAGTGGCCAGTACTCTTATTAACCTTCTGAGAGACTGAATTTCTTTCTTCTGCCTGCATTCTCATTGCCATCTGTCAGAGTGCAGAGTCCCTTTTGCCATCTTGTGTAAAGAATTGTTCTTCCTTTCCCCTGTTCCAGGGACTCTGAGTCCATGAAAACAGAACATGTTGACTGAGTCTCCAGAGAGAATTTTCAAGCCCTAACAAGTTGGTTTAGAACTTGCTAATGAGCCTTTCCCCTCTGGCCAGATGGGGCCACCAGATACAGATGTCATAATCACAAAATTCATTCCTCCTCCTCTCTGTTGCCATCTTGTGTCTGTTGTTGTGACTGTTCTTTGGAACAAAGAAAGTCCTTCATGGATGAAAACTCACTTTTGTTCATGTTATTTTTCACAGGTAGGCCTTATCTCAAAAAATCTTCTTTGTGAATCTTCTTTTATAATTGTAGTGCTTCCTCATTGTCCCTCTCCTCCAAAGACACCCTCATTTTTCTCTTCTTTCTCATGCTCTTCAGTTTGCCTGCAAAGCTCTTCTTAATGCCAACTAAATTTTGCTCATCCTTTGAGGTTCTCCCTAAGCTGTAGTTTGAGGTACACAGCGGAATGAGGACCAGCAAGAGGAAGGGAGCAGACAAGAAAGCTGTAACTGCCACATCTTGGGAAGGCAGATCTAAGGCCTTTTGGCACATGAGGGTGGAGTCTGGGAAGGGATAGTTGCTCAAAAGGAAGTGTTTTGTAAAGTCTGGGTACCTTTGCTCCATTCCTCACAGGAAATGAGTATGTCATTCATTCTTTCATTCAGCAAATGTTTATCGAGCATCATCACTATGTGCCAGGCATTTGTTGGACATCGGAGATATAACTATGAGCCAGACAGATAAGATCCCTGCCTTAATGGACTTGGTGGTCTAATGAGAAGAGAGCCAATAAAATAGGCAAGTACATTCTAGAGTGACAGAGGCTTTCTGAATTGGGAAGTACAGGGCTCCATGGGAGTGGAATCTCTTATCGTATCAGTGACTTCCTAGTAATATGGATTTGACTAGGAAGAAGGCTAAAGGATAGAAATTTATGGTTAACGAGAATTTTAAAAATACTAATGCTGTGCACTTTTCCTGTGTCCAGGCCAACTGTTGAAGACTGCTGAAAAATAATCTGGTGCAAAAATGTTCTTCAGTAAAAAGAAATCCTCTGGTAAGTACAGAGTTCTTCAGATGACTCAAAGTGAATATATTTGTTTTAATTTTTATTTTCTTTTTTATGGAGGTTAAATTTTTGTACAATAAAATGCGCAGATATTAAGTACTCAGTTCAATAAGGTTTGACGGCTGTGTATACCTGTGTAACTACCACCCCAGAAAGTTCCCTTGTACCCTTTTCCAGTGAGACCCCTGTACCGTCACAGCCACCTTCTGACTTCTATCAGGTTAGTTTTGCCTGTTGTTGAAATTGATGTAAATGGAGCCACCCAGTATGTGTTCTGTAGTCTCTCTTCTTGTGCTCAGTGTAAGATTTTTGACATACCTCCATGTGGTTGTGTGCATCAGTAGTTTGGTCTTCATTTTTTATTTCAAAGCAATATTCCATTATACGAATATACTAAATTTAAAAAATGAATTCTACAATTTTATTTCATAACAGCAAGAAACACACTTTGTTGTTTTGTTTAAGTAACTGGTCTGTTGTTGTTAGTTGCAGTCAAGCTGATTCTGACTTATGGTGACCCCATGTGTGCAGAGTAGACTTGCTCTATAGAGTAAGGCTCTGACCTTTCAGAAGCAGATGGCCAGGCCTGTCTTCCCAGAGCCTCTGGGTGGGTTCAAACCTTTCAGTTAACAGTCAAGAGCTTAGCAACTGGTGCCACTCAGGGAACCCTAGTAATTGGTCTAGCAGAACATTATTAATAATATTACAGTTTTAAAGTATGGTGCCTCAACCAGAGAATATTGATCTTCTCTTTTGTCTCCAGTTAGTCAGACAATTAAGTAGTTTTTCCTTCAATAGACAAGTACCCAACTTGTTACTGCTATTTTCTTTATTTTGGACCATAGGTTCTTTAGAGACTAAAGGCTAGATTAGAATATATCTAATGTCCTGTCCCTCATTCTAATAACACCCCTAACAGGTGGTTAGCCTACCTAGACAGGTCATTATTTCTTGATGCACTCCGTTCCCTTGTTGGACACTTACTCATTGCAACATTCAGCCTCATCACGAGCTGAAATCTGTCCCAATGTAGTTTCCGCTGATAGGCGATTAGTTATGCTCTCTGGGGCAATACTTTCATTTTCCCAATGCCAGCCTATGAGACTAGAATTATTATCATCATTTTTTTCTTTTTCAAATCAAATGCTTTATTTATACTCAAATCTCTGGTATTATATCAATAGTGTAAACATAAGGCTAACTAGATTTAATAGGGACAGTTTTCCAAGAGGACTGAGTTTTGCAGAGTTTTGATATGTTAAGACCATGATCTAAGATCCAGATCTCACTCTTTTAAAGCAATTCCTTATATGTATGAATGTATATGTGTAAAATAGGCAATTTTGCATAAATAAGAATAAGAAAGCAGAAGTCACAGTAATCCTGCGATCTGGAGATCACCGCTGAGGCTGCCCTGTTGCACAACTCTAGAGAGCACAGTGACCACTATTAACGTATCTGTGCATATTCATCCAAGTACATATTCCCAAATGTTTATATGTTATCTGTGTATATTCATCCAAGTACATATTCCCAAATGTCTACACATTATCTGTGTACATTCATCCAAGTATATATTCCCTAATGTGTATGCATTGTCTGTGTATATTCATCCAAGTACACATTCCCAAATATAACTGGCCTGTACATTATTTTCAAATGTGCTTTTTAGGTTTACTATACTCATAGATACTTTTCATGTCTTTAGACATTTCTCTATAACATTATTCTTTTTTATATTCCCCCCAAGTTTTTATTTTAGAATGTTAGAATTTTATGGAAAAGTTTAAAAAATGATCACCTATATACCCTTCATCTAAGTTCTACAATTGTTAACATTTTGCTGCATTTGTGTTGTCTTCTCTTTATCTCTCTTTCTAAACCCAGACACACACACACATTTTATTGTCATTGAACCATTTGAAAGTAAATTTGTAGACATCGTGACACTTACCCCTAAATACTTCAGCTTGCATCACCTAAGAATAAGGCTGTTCTCCTGCATAAACACAATGCCATCACCACACTCGAGAAATATAACATTGATACAATAATAATTACATATTACAGTTTGCCCAATTGCCCCCAAAATATCTTTCCTTGCTGGTTTTTATTTTTGGTACAGTATCCAATCTGTGTTCACACATTGTGTTTGCTTTCTAATCTCCTTACTTGCTTTTACATCTAGACTAGTTTTTTAAATTACTATATTGAATTTTTGGAAAAGCTCAGTGCAGTCATTTTGTAGAATAGCCTGCTCTAGATTAGTTTAATTGATTCCTCCTACACAGATTTGGACAAACATTTTTGGTACAAATACTATTTAGATAATATTTGTTTTTTTTAGTGGGCAATTAATTAATTGGTTAATTGACAATTTTATGATAAGGAATGCAACTTGCTGGTCCTCCTTATACAGAATACATAATTTGCAGACAAATATTCATTGCTGGATAATGATGCTAAATGTTTTGATCACACAGCCATGTCTGAACCTGCTTCCTAATAGTGACTGGAAGAGGAAGCACAGGCCAGTCCCTTCCTCTGGACTTGTTATAATGACCACGTAACTCAAGGGACTGACACTTGTGTCATTATCATTTGTATCATCATGATCAGTAATAATGACTCTTCAGTCATACCAGTTCCTGTAGCTCTGGCAATAGACTGAGGAGCTTTTTTAACCTATAATATTCATTCATTAATTCTATCATCAACACACATTTTTGATTGTCTATGAGCACCTCTGATAGGTCCAGGGGCCCTGGTGGCATAGTAGTTAAGAGCTTGTCACCTAACCAAAAGGTTGACAGTTCGACTCCACCAGCAGATCCTTGGAAACCCTATGGGGCAGTTCTACTCTGTCTTTATAGGGTCACTATGAGTTAGAATCGACTCATTGGCAAAGGGTTTGGTTTGGTTTGTTTTATGATAGGTCCCTGGGTGGTGCAAAAGGTTTGCTCTCAGCTACTAAACTAAAGTTTGGATGTTTGAACCCACACAGTGGTGCCGCAGAATACAGACTTGGTGATCTGCTTCTGTAAAGAATAAAAAACCCAAAAAAAGCCAAACGCATTGCCAATAGTCAGTTCCAACTCATAGCAGCCCTATAGAACAGAGTAGAACTGCCCTACGGGGTTTCTAAGGCAGTAAATCTTTCCAGAAGCAGATTGCCACATCTTTCTCCCGAGGAGCAGGCTGGTGGGTTCAAACCTCTGACCTTTTGGTTAGCAGCCAAGGGCTTAACAACTGCAGCATTAGAGCTCCTCCCTGTGAAGATTGAAGTGGAGAAAACCCGATGGAGCAGTTCTACTACGTAACACATGGGGTTGCCACGAATCAGAATTGACTCGACAGGAATGGATTTTTTTCTGTTTTATGATATGCTAGGTAGCGCTACCTGAGAGATTTTCTGTCTCTTCAAGTAGCTTTTAACCATTCAATAAAATACATGTATCCTTACATAATTTTAAAACTTAAAGTAACAATGCTAACTTTACATCACTTTACTAAACATCACAACAAGTGACGTATTTGCTAGAGGATCAGAGATTTGAGACCTTCCAATCAGCTTTCTTTTCGTCAAAAATGAAATAGAATGCATAAAGATTGATATTCTAGGCATTAGTAAGCTGAAATGGATTGGTATTGGCCATTTTGAACTGGACAATGGTATGGTCTATTATGCTGGGAATGACAAATTAAAGAGGAATGGTGTCGCAATCATTGTCAAAAAAATATTTCAAAAACTATGCTAAAGTACAACGCAGTCAGTGATAGGACAAAATCCATACACCTACAAGGAAGACCAATTAGTATGACTATTATTCAAATTTACTCACCAATCACTAATGTCAAAGAAGAAGAAATTAAAGATTTTTACTAACTTCTGAAGTCTGAAATTGATCAAACATGCCATCAAGATGCATTGATAATTGCTCGTGATTGGAATTAGAAAGTTGGAAAGAAAGAAGGATCGGTAGTTGGAAATTATGGCCTTGATAATAGAAACTACGCTGGAGATTGCATGATAGAATTTTGCAAGACAAATGACTTCTTCCTTGCAAATACCTTCTTTCAGCAACATAAACGGTGACTATACACAGTTCTTGTCTGATTCTTCCCACCCACCCCCCATAAACATATTAAAGCTTTCCCTTGTGGAGTAATGAGTGCCGCCTCCGCAGCCTCCACATATTGGGATCAAGGACGTCCTTTGCTAGTTTAAAGAAAACCCGCAATTACCCACATTTTCTGCTTCCCATATTACCAAACTATATGAGATCTGAATTAGGTATTTTACCTGTGAACAACTCTCTTCCTTGTTGCTTTGTACAACAGCACGTGTAAGCTTTAATAAGGTTTGTCTTTGGGCCTCCCATACAAGCTATACAGAAAAGGTGAATAACAAAGAACAAACGGGAAATAGACTGTAATCATAATGTTTTAAATATTTGAATTACTTAGCTGGAGTTTTCCATATCTTAAAGAATGTGGAATTTTATGTGAATATGGAGATAGTAAAGAATAAAATATATCTGAGAGAAGATTATTATTTTCCCGTGTCACCCATGGCTGGCTTGTTATATTTTCGCAAACATCCTCAATGGCCCAAGCTTCCTAATGATGTTGTGAACCTATATATAAAGTGGTTAAGAGCTTGGCTGCTAACCAAAAGGTCAGCAGTTCGAATCCACCAGCCCTTCCTTGGAAACCCTACAGGGCAGTTCTACTCTGCCCTATAAGGTCTCTATGAGTCGGAATAGACTGGACACAACAGGTTTTGTTTGCATCTTTACTAAATGTTGCGGATATTAAAGATATTTCAATGAGGTAAAATATCCCCTCTGCGTAATTTTTTCCCCTGACCTCTCCAAGCTGATTGTTACTGTTGTTTTTGTGAGGTGCCATTAGACTCATAGCCACCCTATGTACAACAGAGGAAACACTGCCATGTCCTGCACCATCCTCACAATCATTGCTATGTT